GTAATTGGTATATCACTTGTTCCTGAATCATCTGTTTGAATAGTAGTCGCTTCCTTTGCCGCAGTTGTTTTSGCTGTTGCTGTGCTATCTGTTAGATATCCAGTAGTTTKTTTGACAACAGTAGTTGGTGTGTGAGTTGTTCCAAGGCTATTTTTTCCAGAGCTATTACTTTCCTTAGCAATAGTGGTTGATGCATCAGTTGTTGCTCGACTGTTCTTTTCGGAAACAGCATTTTCGTTTGCAGTAGTAGTTGGTACATTTTTAATTACTGTGCTTTCGCTATTTGTGGCATCCGTAGCAGTAGTTACTGGCACAGTAGTTTTCAGATTGTGTGTTGGTATGGATGAAGTATTTGATGATGTTTGAATCGGAGGAGTTGGATTGCCAATTATCTGATYGGKGAAACAAAATCATATAAAGAATTGAGTGTGCAAAATGTCACTATTTAAAATAAAGAAGACAAAGGATTTTATACAAATGTGCACAATTTTTTTGCGTATATAGTGAATGCATTTTGTCCTCGGTCGACGACTATACATTACTAAATATAGAAAGTATTKAAATTAACCTTTTTGCAGTCGTGATTTCCAGCAAATTCGGGTGAATCATAATATGTCAGTTCTGCTATCTCTCCCTAAAAAAGAGACAGAAAAAATGTAAGGGAACATTTATTTAAAGATAAATCTTCTTACTGTGAAATAAGCAGATGTTACTCACCACGAAAGGTTTTTCACCAGCTTTCCATCCCGCTCTACCAACATACATACCAGAAGCAGTAGGCATCTTAATGTCTAGTGCGTCTCTATTAAGGATCTTCGTTCTCATTTTCTTGCAGTCTACATAGAGCGTTACACTTCGTCGCGTCATTGCCACACCTATATGTCGCCAGGTTCCAGTAAATTGCGGGACAAAAAATCTGAACACGTGGAATTTATTCGTTTCATCCAAGAMTTCTAAAGTTATGAATGTTTCGACTGAGTCGGAAGATACTTTAAGACCAAGCAACACTCGTGAATGTCTTGGAAACTGCATTATACTGAATAAGTATCCTCCTCGCTGACTTGTTGGTCGTATAGTCGCTACTAATGAGAACGATGGTTTAATTGTTCTAGTGAAGAAATATCCCGCAAATCTACCCACGTTGGCCCACTGCTCAAGTTTGAATGCTGGTATGCTTTCATTCCCGTAGGGTCCTGGAATTACAGTTACACCAGGTGGCAAAGGAGAGGTGATGATTCCAAGAATATCAATCTTTTGAAATGGTGGATTATCCTCTACGGATGGAAACAAAGGTAAAGCGGATAGTATAGTACATTTGTAAACATTTTAATTGATGATTACTTGCTAAAAAAACTTTTGCTTTATCGTTATTTTAAGTCTGTGCACTTCAAAATTTTGCACCCTCTCATACATTTCACTGTAAAATTTCGCGACTTTTCATGTTTTTGACACATCACCTTCAAATTTGGCAGGCTTACTAATTTTAGGCTGTTCTGTCCTGTGGAGGCGATGAATTTTCGTTAACAGGTTTGTGTCAACTGGCCTAAAAGTTTCCTTTGTTTTACGAGGATTTAATTGGGTCATCACCAGCCAATCAGGACGAATGTCGTTATTGGTTGAGAAAAAAAATGGACAGGCAATTACAATTGAAGATCTACCAAAAAATTACCTTATGTAAACAAGTTTTCATATAATCACCTAAATTGTCCCAGCCGCCCCAAAACCTGGCATCGTTTTTAAATCCCTTAACCAAAATAGGACATTAGAAAAACGCGTTTGAGACCACTGAGACGATGATATACCAGGCCTATCGTGAAGCAATAAAAAAACAGTTTTTTCGATGGATTCAGGAAAAACAAAGAAACTTTCTTATTTTATCTCACCGAGCATAAAGACGTAACGTATTATTTGATAAGATGCTGTTAAACATAACATTGTTTTCTACATGTTTATGCCTTTTTAGATTATTTGAGTTTGTACTGTGCTATCATATAGTGTACATAAAATTGTGTTCATGCGCAATTCAAATAATTAAACTAAASAAAACTTGACAAATATTATCTTGAAGTGCACGAAAACTTCTGAAGTCACCACAAAACCAAAAGGTCTATTTATAGTATTCACAGATTTAGCGTGACCATTCAAATACTACCGGACTGCATTTGATTATATATTCGTGACAATATTTTTAAGAAATTGCTTTAAGTTGACAATAATTAAACATTCAATTGGTCACAAAGGATTTTGCATTAATGTACTTGCAAACCATTCAGTTCACGGATATATTTAATGCACTTTACCTAGCTGACAAACACTGGAAAAAATCGCGCGCTATAAAGGTTGTAAATTTGATTTATATATGATGTAAGTGTCCAAAATGATGTAAATTTGATGTAAATAATTTCCATCAAATTTACATCATTTTGGACACTTACAACATATTTCCATCAAATTTACAACCTTTATGGTGCGCTATTTTTTCCAGTGAAACTAAAAAATAATAATCAACAAAACTGTTCGTGACAGTCTGAGCGTTTTTGTTACATGTGGGAGATCTTTGTTTCATGTGGGAGATCTTAATTCTTATGGGAATMGTTTTAGCCTGCATAGCGGYCCTAAGCGGATTGGGGAGGRCCGTGAGGAGAATAAGGAGGAGGAAAARGAAGAGCAAATATCAGTGAAATATAAATAGGTCGGCGATAAAAGGAGTAAACCACTCGTACGACCTCAGTAACGTAGAATCATTGTAAAGTGAACCTTTCAGTCAATRTAGCGGACATTGAGCTGTGACATAGAAAAGGAAATACATTTGAGGTCGTTGGATTAATCCTTCTAATTGAATACTGGGAAGATAACTATATCTCAGACACATAAGATATCCGGCAATGCTAACCACATGATAGACGAACTCGGGCAATCAACTGTTTTAACAGTTAAAACCCTCCGATTATTGTGAATCTTCGTCCGTACTTGTTCTTAGAATATACCATTACACATTCTGAAGTCTCATAAAGTCCACAATATCTTTAGGATGATGCGTAAAAAGACAAATTTAACACCATAAAAACTTGGTGAAACAACTTACTGAAGTTTCGGGAGTTAATCCTTCGTCGGAGTAAACTAGACATCTTTAGGACAGCCTGCCGAGAGATCTAGCCGTCTTATAAAGAAATGCGCGAGTTTTTAACTGATGAGTCATATTCTGCAAAATGCCAGAACTATAAAGTCAAAATGGACAAGTTTATCAAGTTTTATCAAAAGCCTTTATATGCTCATATTGGCAAGAACAATGTAAAAAYTGTTAAATCTTTTTAGATCAGGTTTACGGTATTTGCTAATCGGTGTGGAAGACAATCTTGGCTGAAAATGACCTTAGTGAAACATGATTTGAAACGTCAGACCAATATTTTGATAGATTTCCAAGTGTGAAAAAAACTCAGGCGGCAAGGTTATGATTAATTTAATASGCTTTCTGGGCTTGAACCTTTGGMCRTGAAATAGGACTTTGTATAATTTTTTCCCGAATTACCTGTCACATACATATGAGAATGGACAGCACAAAAGGGGGTTAAAGAATTAAGACCCTTTTGATGCAGCGAGAGAGTGTATTGCGTCTTTTGGAAGACTGGATGTTTCCGCCAGATACAAGACCACTTTTGTGATGTACTCTCTCATCTCCTTGCACCTAGCCAATACAGAGCASRCAAGACGCAAATCAACCGATGCTACGCAATAACGCCCATTGACCGTCATGCACCTGGACAATAGGCCTGAACACAACGCGCGCAGTTTCCTTTTTCTTGGTAATAAAAGCCGAAATTACTGATCAAAAAAGCTGACATTGATTGGTGACCTTCTTTGCAGGCAGTACAATGATGAGAATGGACAGCACAAATGGTGATGCAGCGAGTGAATACTTTGCTTCTCTTGGACGACAGGATGTTTCCGCCAGAGACAAGAACCCTTTTGTGATGTACTCACTCTCTCATATAGATAGATATTTATCTAATTTCGCATTCTGGCACAGCGATATTGGTTACTCGCCAAAGATTCAGAATTATACTATGTAATGCCTGATTGACAAACCATGTATATGATTCATTCCTCAAGAAATTGAAGTGCYCTTAACACCCAAACATGTACTGGCACTCAGACCTCGCGCGACAGCGCCGTCGTACAGYGCACTATGAGGAACTGACATTGAGTTTCATCGAGTAACATAATGCAATCTTCACATAGCAAGAAAATCAGCTTGTGTGGCTAAAGAAAAGGTTTCATATACGTAACGTTTATTCAAGCAGATTCCCGAGGATAATTTGTGGAAAATGGATCTTTTTCTATAACATTATTTGGCTAATAATTCGTGTAGTACACGAATCATGATTGTAAGGGATACTGTAGGTAATTGACACATTTTATGTCGTGTTTTAATTGCAAACAAGAAAAACGTTTATTTAAATGCTTTAATTATTATGGTTGTTGTCGTTGTTGCTTTCTTTTCAAAAATTATATCTGTCAAAGTGCACGCACAAAGATTGCAAAGACCGGATACTGTAATCGAGTAAACGATGCATTTAAAAATTTGKCATGCTCTGGTTGCGAACAAGAAAAACGCTCATTTGGAAAAAAAACGACTTTATTTTTGTCGTTTTCGTCGTCATTGTTGTTGTAGTCGTTGATATTGCTTTGACTTATCTTTTCGAAGATTGATAATGTTATTTAAGAATTACAGTTTGAGATTAACTTTAGTGGATTGTTTAATCCACTTCACTGATRATTCTTGTCGTGATCGCGAATTTCTGCAGCTCGTGCCATATTGTCACGAACAACGTTTGWCGACGGACAATATATTTGATATCAGACCATTTCTTGGTGATCGACACATGCTGTTCGTCGGGTTCACYGTTTCGTTAAGACTATTCAACCAATCGTAACATCAACATGTATATCTAGATAACTCATATCACTTCTACGCACACCGTT